AAATCAAGTTTTGGAGCAATACTTAAGATATATTATCAATTATCAACAAGACAATTGAAGAACCCTCTTACCATTGGCAAAGTTTGCTTATAATAATATAATGCATTCTTCTATGTAACAAATATCTTTCTTTGCCAATTATGATTACCATCTATAACTTGTTACTTTTAACTTTTCAAAAATTAATAATCCTATAGTGGAAGATTTGGCAAATCATTTGTTTGAGCTACATACAACAATAAAGGTGCAATTAAAAGAAGCTCAAGAATGACAAAAGATCAACTTGGATGCCTATAGAAAAGAACAACCACAATTCAATGTAGGTGATGTAGTATGGTTACTTCATTGTAATATCAAGACTACTTGTCCTTCTGATAAGTTGAACTACTGCATGCTTTGACTTTTTCCTATTTGTGGACAAATCAATCCAATTGCTTATTGATTGTATCTATTAGAGTCAATGAAAATCCATCTTGTATTCCATGTGTCTCTTTTTAAACCATATAAGACTATGAACATACCAAAAAGAAGATAAGTTCTACCTCCTCCTATAGAAGTAGATAATAATAAAGAATTTGAAATGAAAGAAGTTTTAGACTCAAAGAGTCTCCAAAATAAGTTGAAATATCTTGTCCATTGATATAAATATGATATTAATGAACACACATAGGATCCAACAAAGATGGTAGAGGCTTTTCATCAACATCCATTAAAATCAAGTTGAAGGATACTAAACCTTTGCTATAAAAGAAACACAATTCAAGAAAGATTGCATTGTATCTTCTATCCTTATTTGTAATTTCTATATAATTATAGCATTAAAGAGATGGAAAATCAATAGCCTATAAGTTCAACTCAAGAGCCATTATTTGTTGACTTACCAAATGAAACATTGCGATTATCATAGCCTTCGAGACAACATAACAAGAATGAAGACCTTCAAGAACAACATGTTATTCCTTAAATAGATGATGAAATATAATGCATTTAATATCACAACCTAAGAAAAGACTCTCAATATTTGGTGATTTCATTAGAGGTAGGCACAACTCTTCATGGTGTTACAAATGTTTTATTTGAAAGAAGTTACAAAGGATTCAACAATGATCAAATCATGGGATAGTCTTCTTGCCTTAGAATGGGATATTACCAATGGCTGAGAGAATCTATTAACTACCTTCAAAAGGAATAAAGATCAAAGTATGTAGAAAATATAATTTGCTACATCTTATATTTCTTCAATATATGAACACCGCTCGTTTTGGAACTCGTCTCTAGAAGAGAGGTAAATGTCATAGATATATATATCTATTATAATTGTAATCTAAGTAATATGAATAGGTAGAATTAGGTAAAAATTTATTAATTTCATAACATCTTCTACAGAAGCTTTCTAGAAGCTTTTTAGACATTATTTTGACTTTATATATATTTACAGTTGATTAATAGATTAGAAACTTGATCAACAAACTATTTATGTACCACATGTATTAGTAGCTTACGAAACAAGCTAACTATGTAGTACTCATATGAAAAACTTGCATTGCAAATCAAAATATGTATCATGCAAAGTCAATACGTTTTTAGAGGTCCTATAGAATGTTGCTATATAGATCCTTGATAGATAGTATATATAGAAGCAAAAATGAAGCCTTCTTCACTCTAGTCAATTCCTTTCTTGCTTCTAGTCTAGATTTAAGAGTCTCTAGTTTCCTTGTCTTTTAGCAATAGCCATTTCAATTTTCTTTTAAATATATATACTTTTCTATTTTCATTTCTTTGAAAGAGTCTCACTTTTTTATTTACTTTCATCAAGTTCTTATCTTTGATACATAGTGAATTCATGTGCTTATACTTGAGAATAAGTTTAGATTAAAGTTTGAGCATTATCTTATTAATCAAATAGTTATGTACTTTCTCTTGGATCTACTTTGTCTTGTTTTGGTGCTGCTTAGGTAAAAAGAGATTAGCAAAGAGGTTGCGCGTGTTAAAAGCAGTATCATGTAATGACAGTTGTTGTTTTTGCTTGTTTTCAATGACACTATTGCGGCTGAAATTTTTATCAAAGCATTGTATAGAAGGAGTGATAGATATATATTGTGTAGTATCTGATGGCTCTTTTATTTAGCATTGACATTACTTTATCTTAAGAATTGTGCTTAAATGGTTGTTAATCAAAGCCTATAGGTATTTGCTCTCCACATTGGTTTTTTGAGTCCAGAGTCGTTGATAAGCTTTTGGAGCTAGATTGAATATTACTGATATTGGGAGTAATATCAAACTTATGTATTAGTATAGATTGGTTCTTTTTCTTGCATGTGAGGCATTTTTTCATACGTTGGTGGGTGGTAATGCATTCCAAGGTGTTGTATTTGTAAGAATGACATTTGTTGCATTGTATGATAAAGCCATTGTATAATAAGATGTATTCTTGTTTAATGTTATTGTTTGTGTCCAGATGGGAGATTTAAATAGATTTCAAGAATATTATTATATTATCTGTGAATGTTTGAACAAGTTAAGCATTTATTATATAATAATTTGAATCTTTTATTTTTAGATTAAAAAAATCAAAAATTAAAATTAAAAGAGATTTTTTTTTATTATCCATTAATAGTAATTTTTAAGGTGGAATTTCAACACCAATATAAAATATATCTATAAAATTTTATATTCAATATTCTACATAATTACCTTAATAATTATAAAGTTTAAAGACTAAAAGATTCATATTTAGAAATTTACACTCAAAAGAGTAATTTGAAGTTAAATGTGAAAAATATAAAGTAATTTAATTTAAAATTATATTATATTACAAGTAATATATGTCTTATATAACTATAAAATTAAACACATTTTTACTTCAATAATTTTATATATATATATATATATATATATATATATATATATAATTAATTTATTTCATTCTATTACTTTTATATTAAATTATACAAGTTTAAGATAAGAAGGATCAATGTTGATATAATATAATTGTGAAAAACTTTTATTCAAGGATAGGATATTAATTATTTTTTTATTTATTTTTTTTTAATTTCAGAAAGAAGTAAATAAATTGTGGTTAACTTTTATATTGAGAGGAGAACCTATTACCTGAAGTAGTTTTTATTTTATTTTTTTTGAGATTCTACAATCTTTTTGACAAGTGTTTTGTAGTTTCTCCTAAATATATCTCTTTAATAGTCACATGCTGAGATTAAAATATTTTATTATTCCTAAATAATCAATTTAACAATCTCTTTATTGATAAGGAGTTATGATTTTAATACTACAAGAACACCACATGAAACTAATGTAAACATAACCAATAATAAACCTTTTATCAACTTCTTGTTCTTTTAAAACAACTATTTATATATATATATATATATATATACACACATTTTGAAGTTTTATATTTAACATTCAAAATATCAATATATATTATTCTCATTAAAGCATATATCATGAATTTAATTTTACAATAAATAATCTTCCAAACATTGTAATATCAAATGATTATTAATTATCTTTTAACTACATTGATCTCTCAAATAATATCTTTTATTACATACTAAAATAAAAATAATTTTTTATTATAATAAAAAAAATCTTAAAATATTAATATTATCAATGAAAATAAATGAATGGAGTTATTTATAGGAAATTACCAAGCATATATATCTTTATTAATATATGCATGCCCCTTCATATTATGCACCTCTGCATATACATAATAAAACTCTTTTTCATACTAAAAGTTTTAAAGTAAATTTATAGTAAAAGATTTTCTAATTAAACTAATAAGTTGAAGTAAATGAAAGAGTTTCTTGAATTTTTTAAAAATTTATCTATAAAATAAAAATAAAAATAAAAATAAAAAAATTATAAACCATGGCAAAAAATTCTTTTATTGTAAATTTACCCTAGAACTTTTTTGTGTAATTAAGAGTTTTGTTGTGTGCATGGAAGAGTGTGGCACAAGAATGTCCAATAAAAATGAGGTTTCTACTTAACAATTCACTATTTATAATATACTAAAATGTGTATTTTTAGGAATTAAAAAATTATATACAACAGCTATTATTAAAAAAAAAAAAATTATACAAAATATTAATATTTATTATAAATCAATTACAATTAATAAAAGAATAAGTTTTATTATTTTAATTACAATGTTTTTTTAAATTCAACTTAATATGTATTTTCTTGTTATGTTACAAAATTTAGTTTTTTTGTATATACATACAGATATACACATACGTGAATATAATCTAGTAAAATAACTAACTAAATTGTAGGTTTTAGATTTTAAGCTCTCTTTTTTTTTGAATATATATTTTTTAAAAGAAATTCTCTAAACTTTTGAATTGTAAATTATTAATTATTAATTTTGTTAGTAATTTTATATTTACTTCAGCAATTGGTTATTCATTCTTTATTTATTTATTTATGTACACACATTACTTCCTCAAAATCAAGTAACATTATTTTCTAAAAAATAAACATACTTTAATACATATTATGATTGCAACCAGTCACAAAGTAATTCTCATTCTGTCGAAAATTTGTGTGATATTATTGGAATGTAATCACCATGTTGTTGGCTGTAATCATTGCATGAGCAAAACATCTTATAATCTCCTGATCATTCTTCACCATATTTATTTGTTTTACACTGTTGGGAATAATTGGCATAATTGATATGGGACTGCTTCTTTCACTTTCACTCCACTTTTAACATTGCCTTCATGTTTTTTTTGTTTTTTCAAAAGTGATTTTTGTATGCAAGACGTGTTTTTTAAATGTCATATTTATACACAACTTGTGTATATGTTTCTCACTGCGAATCAAATCTGAACTGACCAGGGTACAGAATAATCATTTGGAGATTGCAACTTATCCTACAACTCAAGGATCCACATCACATCGGACAAAAGATACAAAGGAAAATGCCCACAATCAGAATCGTCGAAGTTACCCTGAATAGGCACTGCAACAGGGACCACAGAAGAGCACCGCCTTTTTCCCTTTTCAAAGCCAGGGTTGGCACCTCATTAGATTTCATAACAGGAGGTTATGCAAGCATGAATGCTTGCTTGCACTGTTAACAATGAGAACGTCACACACGCTGTGCTTGGACAGGACTTGGGGGTGGAATAAGACGCTAGAATATCACAGTTGATGCCAAAGAGAATCTAAAAAACTTACATAATGGAATCTTTCTGCAGTTATTCTAGCACACCTCTCTGGGATGCTAAGAGCCTGTCGGTGAAGACGGAACACATTGGATTCCTAGGCGCTTGTGCACTCTACAGCCTAAACCTGACGTCTACTTGGGTTGATTTGCACATTATAGTAGAGTGGCTTACGAAGGCAAAAGAATGACACAGATGGCGAACGAGGTCGGTAACGTTGCTTGAATCGTGATGACCCGGCCATGGAGAGTTCAGTACTGGTTATGTTGCTGGCAGCAAGTTGGTGTTCACTTGAGATGCGCCTCGTAAGCGTCGTAAAGAGCGAATACACTCTCTGAGATTAAGAGCGGGAGCTTATCTATATACAAGAACAAGCGCTGTAGGTTGTCACGAGTGATTTTATCTACGTCTTCAATGTCTGCCGAGTCGGTGAATATCCACAGGTCACATGAGTTAACACGCCGTAGACTGTCTCGACAATACGGGCATGATTGTGATCGCCCATGCCTGCAGCAAACCCAGTCGTTAGTGCTATGCTGATCTGCTCTGTTTTCGACGATGACAAACGACAACGTTCTCAATGCAAGCTGAACTCCAAACTCTGGACTGGAATCTTCGGTCCTTGAATCCACAGGATACCGTCCCGTTGAATCAGAATATATAACACTTCCGGTGTAAAGAATTGGCTGGAACAGGAAGACTTCAAAATGAGGGATTGGTGTCCTCTAGGATCCACAGCAATAGCTCAGACAGAACGAAACGCACTTACCAATCACGGTAGCACGTAATGCACATTACGTGATTGCAATCCGGAAGCGCAATCTTAGGATTCCTCTCCATGCAGATGCCGCACTCCATTTCACGCTCAAAATCGAATTCCGACATGTGACTGCATTCTTCGTCACGTTTTCTGTATCGCTCTTGAACTTTGGCTTTCTGCTTGAGATCTTCCACCCCAGTCATCCCAGCTTGGAGTTGTTGTAAAGAAGGATATATGTGGCCTGGCAACAGCATGCGCAAATCAGCAATGGCTCGCAAGGTCCGAGGGTGACTCGCAAGCTTCTCACAAACTCCTCCAACAAATTACCAGCAAATGCGCGGCTAACATACAGAAATGTTTCATCATAGATTGACATTGGTTTGACGGGAAACTATGATCAAAAGAAAGAAAAGAAAAACAACGACAGTCTGGAGGACAAGTGAAACTCGCACCATAGAATTCGCTGAGGCTGGCCTTCCTTTCCTGCGTAGACATTGTCGTGGTTCCATCCAAGTACACCTGCAGCAATTGACCAATCTTGTCAACATCGAGATAGATTCGCGGGTGAACACCTAAATACTTCAGGAAACACAATCGTAGGTCTCCTGGACTAGGATGTCCTACTAATCGACATAATTTAACCGAATGCTGAGCACCGAAGTGACAATATGTACTACCGTGTTCCTAAAGCACCCATGTAGAAAATAAGTGCAGCTATTCTTGACAAGTAGTAAAACACTGTCACACTAGAAAAGTGCGCCCATTGCAACATTTCTGAGTTCATAATCAGATTGGGTTGGATTCTTCACGCAACTACTGAACCTACAGGCGATGTGTTAAGCACAGGCAATTGTCTATAACAACCGCAAGCGTTTTATTCCCTGTACTAGATAGGAGACTTCGCAGATCGACTGCAGCCTAAATATTAGAAAAGGCAGCGTATTTTCGAAGGTTGACCCAACCCAACCCAGTTCAGCCTTGAACTTGCAAGCCATGAACGGAGAAATACCATCATCAGAGTAACTAGTTTTGCACTTATGGTTTCCCTAATAACGTACAGCATACACGCTCAATTCCTCTCTTCACGATTACTGATACCTTCAACATCATTCCTGCTCTCTATCATCGAAAGAATGACTAGTGAATGTGAAAACAGAAACAACACCTTGTAAATAAGTATCCGGAGAAGTCCCAGTGCACCGGCCAGACTGCAATCGGTCCATTGTACCAGGAATAAGAACAAATGCGCAACTGGGCTGTAAGATAACCGCATTTGAATGCACGCCCCATCATAATCTCTTGGGACGTCTGATGCTCTGCTCAAAACAATGTGAGGGATCAGATACACAAGGCAGACTGAGGATCACAGGATGAGCAGACTCTGGACTTGAGGAGATTTGGGTGTCCAAGTGTAGGAAGAGCCCAAGCAGTGGAACGACCGAATGGTCATGGAGGTTGACGAGACCAAAGGCTGCCATTCGAGATGTACCCAAAATATCCAAAACACCCCTGAAGTGTGTTTTTCTGACGACACATTCTACTGAAAGGGCGATATATTTGCGATTACGTGATCGGATTATTTCAAAATTTTACGATGGGAGAATAGCTTATAGATTTTAGATTGAAAGAAGAAAAGAAAAAAAACTGATTTTCATGCTTAATGCTGTCTCAAACGCAATTTCTTACGAAGAGGAGTTCAACCTTTCATCCGCGGGAGGAGTGCACATCTCTAGTGTCGTGAGACACCGCAGAGACTATCTGTGCAAAAGACATCGTCACAAGGACACCCACTCCTGTTTCCAATTGCTGTGAGCGAAGAGAATACAGCCACGACAACAATGCCTTGCAAGCTTAATTACTTCACCGTGACTTAATTGGCCACAACTATCAATGTGGTGCATCACAAACATCTTAAAATTAGTGATCACAACCCCTATAGTGTAGCCCACAGAGCTTCAATATTCAGTCAATGTTCAAATAGAAACTGTACAATAATGCACTTACAAAGTGTTTGCATGCTGAATGTCCGCCTCCAAGACCTTGAGAGACTCTTTGAATGACTTGCACTGCGCCATATCTAGGAGAAGCATCTCGTCGACAGGATTTAGAACTCCGAGTTCGCAGTTGAGGGATGACTAATGTGCTATGTTCGTGTTGAAGAAAACACCGTGAAGTGGAGGGAAAGATGAGAAAAGGAGCGTCGGAGGGTGCAACCACACATAATCGGAATGCGCAGCCGTGCAACCGAAATCATCCTGCTCGTCCCCTAGACATTTTTAACCGAAACCCTGCTTCGAATGAAGTGATTTTTTCCACGCACACGAGTCTCGAAATTGCGCTGCAGGAGAGGGATATTCTTCCGGAAGCAATGGCTGGGATAGAAATAATAAACCGTACGACAAATCAAGAAACTTTAAGAATCGAAGACTAAAGAACAAGCCATCCTGACACCGACAAAGCTAGTACAAATCCTGCAATTGCAGAAAAAACACAAAAGATACTCAACCCCGATGCCCTCCCACTCCAGGTACTCTGCTTGCAAAGGGGGGTGAGCAGCGGAGAATATTGATTAAAATCCAATCGCTCGGCAAATAGTGAATACTCAAACTCAATAACCTAGTTCCCTAAGAGTACTCCTCTGAAATAGTGCTCATCTCCAGAATTGCTTCTACAGAAGCAGGCATTTAGAAACAAAAATAAATAAAAACGCGACGCTAAACCAACGAAAGCTTCCAAACCCGCTGCAACAACAGAGGGGACGACCAATCCTGTACGCTACAAACTGCCAACAGACCTCAATCGATTGCTCTCTCTCTCTCTCACTCAACCTATACTCACAATGAAATTGTGAGTGTAAACTACGAACAAACAAGCCCAGACGCAGAAATCGCCTGAAGCACAACTACGACAAGGACGAAGACGACGACTGGGAGAATAAGGAACCAAGTCTCTTGTGATGTAGTTGTCGTCCAATTCGCTCCGGTATGCAAATAGCCTGCTATACTTTAAGCAAACGTTGCCGCAAGGATCTTTCAGCGCAAATGTGACGGGCGGGGTGATAATCTTCTGTGGAATGGTGGGGCCAGGGACAGGCGACATAATCTCCGAAGACTTAAGGAGATAGCATTACTGCTCCGATCTGAATCAGCACTTCCAGAATCACCTCCTTGGCATTGGCTCCTTCCTAGCAAGGACGACGAGGGGGCCGGCCCTGCGGGCATGATGACGCCTGCCGCCATCAAAGCTTGACCGTCACTCCACCTCCGCCGGCAACTTTGCCTTCCTCTCCTCTTTCTTTCCCCCAAATCTTACTTCAGATTTCATTTTCTTTTCTTACACACTCCGGATTCTTCTACGTTGCACAGTGGTTCGAGGTTAGATTTCTGCATCAACACAATTCCACATTAAAATATTGCAAAAACAAAAAAAAAAAACATTAAAAAGTTAAACAAATGTAAAACTATGTAAAACTATTAGCTTTCGTGCACTTTCATACTCGAAATAGGCATATAGACTTTTTGTTTCGATTCCAAGGTTTGTTACACAAAAAAAAAAACCTGTGTCTTCGAGAACTTACTCGCAGGTGGGTTTAACCCACTTGGATTCTGTGGAGGTCGATTGAAATCTTCCATTAAAAAAATCTGAAGGAGGCGACAGTGTGCAACTGCGTGCAAAGCCGCATAAGTCAGTAGTGTGGGCCAATCCAACAGTTGGTGAGATACAACAGGAATGCGCTAAAGAAAGGAAGATGGAAAGAGAAAAGGAAGAATGGGGTGGGGGGCGGATGGGGAGGGAGAAAGGCACAAGACGGTCCATAATGGGCCCACACTTGTGATGTTCCCATACTGTGGACTCCTCACACCCTGACTAAACCCTAATCCACCTTTTCAACGAGACAGAAGACCTATGAGATGGATAAAGGAGTGCCATGATCTAGTTACCTACTCTATATATTTTTGGCTGGATAAAAGGAAAATGGCTGTTGCTCAAAGGGATGGCAGGACATGAGGCCCTTACCCCATCCTAGTTGGCACTGGCTGTAGATTCCCAGCAGCACCCATCTGTGCAACACGCACTTGGAACCTTCTCTGTTTTCCTTTTTTTGTGCTTTTTGTCCATTCACTGGGGCATTTCATGGAGTTGAGGGCAGTGGGTGGCAATGGCTTCATCTCCTTCAGATTGAGCACTTTGAGAGCTTCCACTCCAAGCAAAGAATCTTTTCCTTCTTCTTCAGCTGTTGCTGCTCTGTTGCACTTCAGCAAAGCAGATTAGGTTGACCTAATTTCTTCCACCTTTAAACTTCTTCCTACTAAGAATACCCAGCTTTAAATTCCCACTTGGCAGTGAATAAGAAATCAAGCCATGGACACAGAGTTAACTGTGGCATCTGCAGAACAGTGCAGTTCACTTACTTGCTTACAGAGATGGGTAAAAATTAAATTAAATAAATAAATAAAAACAATTTAAACCAAGAAGCATGTCAGAGTACCTGCATTGCATATATTTCTTTGTATACATTGTTGGATGAAACTTATTATGACATTTGATGCTATTAGTCAGAGCTTGCAAATTTCAAAGCAGCAACTACTCCTTATGAGGGTGAGAAATATTAAAGCCAAACTGTGAAGCAAAACCTTGTTAAACTGTTATTGTGCATCAACCAGGACAAACACAAGCATTGAATAAACATTATTACCCATGTTGAAGACGAGGAAGCTTTGGGGGCAATATTGGGTCACAAATAAGGTGGACTTTATTTGCTCACAACAAAAACTCCAACAGAGTACTGTTGATTCCCAGAAGCAACAGCAAAAATGAGCATATTTCACAAGTTTTTTTTTTTTTTTTTTTTTTTCCTATTTATAAAAGCAATATGCGTAAAGTACACACACTGCATGTGTAAAAAAATATGAAAAAACAGACCTGGACTGTAAAAACTACATACATACAAGTGGTGGGATAAATACGTAGTGGATTCAGTTACCACTGGTTGGAGCCTGATCAGTGGTAACTGAATCCAACCCCAGATCCCCTGAAAATCCAATAGGATCATAAAGACAACAACTGAGGAGTGGGCAGGGAGCTATCTAATTGCTTTCACTCCAGTGCCCACTTTACCATTGGGAATAATAACAACAATGGGGACCATTTTTCCATTGTCTTTGCTGACTCAGTGCCTCATTTTGAGAGTGCCACCACTCAGATATTTTTGAACTTTGGATGAGACTTGTGTTACTGATACTAGCTTCCATCCATCCATCGCCATTTCCAGTTCCCCTTGCGCACACAAAAAGTCCTGTTGCTTAGCTCTCAAACTTAAAATGGGTATGATAATGGGGAAGCTCGCCCTGCCCAATTTGGTACTTCAACAAAACGAGTCACACAAAGGATGAAAATAAGGGGAAATGTATATAGAGGGGAAAAAAATGTAACAGGTCCCCTAACAGTAATGTTTTCAGTATGGAAGAACATGTATGAAAAATTAGGGTTTTTTTGTATATGTATCCTTGATATTTCCTGACAATCTGCAACACCATAAATGTATATTCCTATCCCATGCATATTTGTTAGTTACGAGCAAATGATTTTTAAGGATTGAAATGCCAAATGTTCTGGCAATTCATGACAATATCTGTTTATACAATTACGTACACAGGAAGGTTCCAATTATAGGCTTGTAATATTTAAATGTTTCTGTTTCCTCCTTATCTTCATCCACTCTGATTTTCTGGAAATAAGATCTAATACCAGGGACTCCCTCAGCTATTTGTGAAGACTTTGTATGACACATACTGGCAATAAATGGTATTTCTAAAGCTATTGTTTTATTTATTAGTTGTTTTTTTTCCTCCATAACTATGAGTTCATCAGCCAGTCTTCCTTGTCCTGGAGTATCTGTCATCCAATGATTTAAACACCAAGTCACCTGTCTTCGTTTTATTGGTTTTCCAGACTAATTTACTTTCCTTCTTACTTATTTGATATTTTTCTGCCACTTTCTTTTTAAAATTCCAACTATGAATTTTTTCCCCCACTTCCCTCATGTGCAATGTGGGCCTATTGTACCCACTCCCTCCCCAAAAACCCCACCCAACCATGCATGGGAATGGAGCAAGGAAACAAAATTGACTCATTCATTGGCTTAGTGTTCCATTCACTTGAAGAGGGATTTCCCTCACAGAAAGATTTTTCGGAATCTTTTGTGCCTCAATCAATGAAACAATGTTCATTGGGCTTTGCCCTCAGAAGCTCAAAAAGTCTCCACAAGAGCTCAGAACGTGTGTTCCCCAAGAGCCACTTTACATCATTGGCTGCACCTAAAAGTCCACCAGTGCAAGGTTTAAAGTTCATGTATTGCATTCCTTTTGGAAGCATGCTTTAAAGTTTATTCTACTTCCTTTTCTTCTATTTGAACAGACACTGTTTTTGCATGTCTACCCCCTGGACACTCATGATGCCACATCAGACTTTGGACTTGTCCAACTCAGCCTCTTTTTTTGTCCCCCTCAGCATCAGTGGCCCCAACAGAAAGATTTACATGTGGATTGGCCTCGTGGCAATGAGTCAGCCTCCATTCAAGTGGGGGTAGAGTGAGGAATATGCTGTATTATTTATTTATTTATTTATTTATTCACTTATTTTCCCACTGTAGCTGTGACTGCATGTGCATGGCTAAGTGGTGGTGCAGGTGCCAATTGGTGCTTGGCCCTCCTCACTATGTTTGAATATTCTCATTCTACTCATTATTGTTTGTATGTTACTGTGGTGGATCCCGCATGAAAGCCAAACTTGGATGCAGTTTGACCCAATTTCAGAATAGAAGGGGGGAGGGGGGCTTAGCTTATCCATGATTCCCCATCTTCTCCATCGGCTGTGAGTGTCATGCTATTGTCCTCTCTCATTCTTTCTCTCCCACTGTCATGCTTCTTCTAGATGCTTCTCTTTTTCCTCCACTGTTTCAATCTTCCAATCGTCAAAGCCAGTTCCAGTATCCAAAGATGGCTGTTTCTAAGCAGTGGCATATTTTTTCAATGATAGAATTAATGGGTATGTATGAATGGGTATGTAGAAGTATATTCTGTTATATTGTAATAAGTTAAGTGAAATACATTCAGGGAGTGAGAGGGGGGAGAATCCTATCATGCCAAATTTAGGGCACCAGGGGGTTGGTTATTGCTACAGTGTCTTCATGGGACAGGTCACTGCTGATGTGGACACATCTGGCAGTGTAGTCAAAGCACAAGGAGACATGGGGAGAGAAAGAGAGAGAAAGAGAGTTGAACTATTCATTCATTTAGTTGGAGAACAAATGATTTATATATTGATATTTGCAAATTAGGTCACATGCTGCATTTATTTTTGTGTTGTTTATCTGATAGACTTTTGGTTACTTGAAACATGCACTGTGGTGTATCAGGAGCCTTTTGTTCTGGGTCTTCTCTGCCTTCCAACCATCACAATGAAAGAATATGTTTTCATTCACTAAAAGCAGAATAATAGTATCTAAACAATCATTTTGTATACAATGACTATCAAGAATACAATACATTTTGATTATGTTGCTTCTTATTTGTCATATGGCCTATTATTTTAGTAGATTACTCATGTGATAAAGAAAAATAGTGATTGTCTCTACATTCTTGCCAAAATAAGATGTTCATTTCTATGAGAAGTTGCAATTGCATCTTACATTGTTTGTGTAGCTCATCCCCAACATCATAAACACATATTGGAAACACATATTAGACATTTTCAGTTGTTGCCAATGTTTCCATTCATGATGTTAGAAACTTCCATTCAAAATCTCACATTTTTTTCTATCTTTGACAAACAACAATGAATTGCTGTCATCCCATTTGTTCACCATTTTATTTTATTTTTATTTTTATTCATAAATAACATAGTAGCAAATCAGCATTAAAAAATATGGTGAAGCTTTTCAATTCAATGTGCTTTAATTTGAAAAATAAAATCATTGGATCATTAAGCAATGGAGCACAATACATGAATGGCTAAATCTATAGACTTTTAACAAGAATTGAAGTTATAGCAATATCTAACTTA